GTCCCCGACGTCAAACAAGCAACCAACATTATTACAGTACGTTTGTTTAAACGAAAAATACGTCAGCCCATCGTGTCGTTTGGATCACACGCACGTTGCCCGTTCTAAATACGTTTTTCACGTCGTGTTTTGCATTGTGATTTCCCATTCGCACCGCGTGATTTATCTGCATACGATTACTGTAACGCTGCCGTTATGAAATTTGCATTACGGGTTTGATATTTAATAACAAGTACAACCCGTTGCACGTCTGCACTGGATGTGAGTGGCATGTAGCATACGAATCCGATTGTAATTCATTATAGATCCGTCGCACTCGAGTCGGTGGCGAGGTTCAGGATTTTTTTTTTTTTTTTTTGTTGGAAAATCGTCAATAGACCGTTCGGAAGTACGCACGATGTACTGTTAAACAAGTATCGTATTTGATCTGATTACGTTTTGCGAAAAGGGTGAAAACGCGTAAGAACCAAATCCGTATGTGTTTCGTCAAGTAATTTTCGTAATACGGATGTGCGTGTGCTTGACTTTTACGATTATTATTTCACATTTCCATTAAGATTATTTCTAAAACATGTGCTTTTACAAATATGTACCAGCACTTAATTTATTTGAATGCTCTTCGTATGAAAATTAAATAATTAAATTCGCTAATTGCGTGGGAGTCGTTCACGAGCAAAAAATAGTAATAATAAATACACGAGAAAAAGAAGAATAAAAAAGCGATGAAAATAACAATGGTTTATTAAATAACAAAAACATTGGTTTAATAATTTAAGAACTAGCATTTTACGGCCTTTTTTAATTTTTAAAAAGTGGTCTTAAATTATGTATGTATAATGTTTATACTTTTTTTTTCTACTAACGTTAAACGTACATGATACGGTGTTTAATCTTTCCAGGTAGTTCGTTATCTCGGTTAATGTTTTTAGTAGTTATTCTTATCATAATACATTAAATTACATATTATTCAGGGAATTGTTTCTGAGAGCATTGTTTCGTAGTCATCCAATTGATATCGATTTAAAATCGATGAATTGCATATAGATCCGTACATTCCACTTCACACTTTTTGAAAAATATGCATATTGTATGAGCTGCCAGATTGGCTAAAATCAATTAGAAGAAAGAATAAAAATCATTATTACAATTACCATAGATAGTAGAATTAGAACTATGCTGATAACATTACCGACGTTTGTAATAAAATTGGGTTTAGTGAATCTTCTTTTTTTTTTATTAATTTAATTTTTTTTTTTTTAGTTATTTTTAGTTATTTTTATTATGAAATATTACAATTCTATAAAAGCATAAGTTCTTTGGAAAAAATATAAATAAAAGGGAACAACTTTGACGTTCCGATGTGATTTGAACTTTAACCGACATTGTTTTTAAGTCTGAGTAGATAAATCAACAACACATTTTCTTTACGCATCAAAATAAGTTATTAAAATCCAACTGATTGTGCCATTATATGTATATTTACACATATTTTTTTTTATTTATTCGGTATAAGTCGATCTACGATTTATATCAATTACATTTACATTTCGGGTAAGAACAGTTTTTTGTTTCCTTTGAACATACTCCACTGTGTCGGGTAATGGTAGTATGGAATTTGAATAATTTATACAGAACCACATGTATTTTTTTTTTTTTTTTTTTTTGATTTAATAATAATATACTTACTCGTCACTTAAACACTTCTGTAGTTGATATTTTCAATATTTTAATATAAGTTAATAATTTTTTTCGGAATCATGCATTTTTTTTCACTCTACACTTCTACAGCATCGTTAAATATCTTTAAATCACGTCAAATTGATTTGTTAACGGAGATTTATAATTTTTAATATTATTAAAATAAAAAAATTAATAAAAAATAGATTAAATTAATGTTATTAAAAATAAATCTATTAAGAAAGTTTCCTCAGAATTGTATTTCTGATTTAAATACTTTTAAAACCAATTTACAATGACTGGAAACCATTGTGGTATACGTTCTTGAATACAATGCACCGAACGTCTGTAGAATTTCTGCTTCGTTATTTTATTTAACTCTGTCTGATGTAAAAGACTAGTGTGTTAACGTACCCACCTTTTAATGCACTTTATAATGGTCTTCGATCAAAGAAAACATGTTCGCGTATGCTGATATTTTATATTTGAATATGACCATTAAAATAATTATAATCGTCGATTTCACTCGTATCTTCATTTTCTGTATTTACTCAACCGTATTATCTTGATGAAAAGTTTAGTTATTCAAATGCGTACGGTTTCTACGACGACTGCTATCCTTTTTCTTCTTCTGCTCACAACAACCACTTTTATCCGCATTAAACTCGGGTGACTGGTTTCGGATAAAACGAGTGCCATCATACACTCGAATGTAATAATTAATAAGAATAAATAATATTCGTTCGAAATGCTGATTATTTATGATCGCGTTGCGTGTTCAATTATGCTCAAGTTGGATTAATGTCACGTGTGAGATGTATGATTCTACCGTTTCTAAATATTCTGAGCGAGACGGTATGGTTTAACAACAACGCGTTTTTTTCAATTCGCACATCATCGGCAGTAGACCGGATACGGGAAAAATGATGACTTATCTCGAAACTTACATGTAACCCGATCAATGGACCAAAAATTTGTATTTTGTTTAATGTGTCAAAGTGTCAAAGTTGCAAAGTACTCGATAGTTTACGAGAAAATCGGAAAAATTTATTGTTAATCGCAACGAAACCTGAACCCGTTCCGAGACGAAACCGAATTCGATCCCGGTCTGTTTCTCGAACCCAACGATATTTTGTCGGTATTTTCTACGCTTAAAACTGTATTGTATTGCATTACCAGTGTGCGTTCCCAAAACCTGCTGGCCATTGCCGGCATATACTTACTGTTTGCGAGACGGTTAATGCGTTTTGTTTGCACTGCGTTTTAGCCTTGTTTGCGAATTGAACTCCGGAGCCACCGGTGTTATTTACCTTTAGGCGCAGTCCCTTGGATCCGTTGGCCGGCTATTCATTTCGTTTCCGTTCCAATTAAAAGTCGAGCAATAATTATTTTGTTCTCGAAACAGCTGTCGCGCGAAATGTTTACCATGCGGACCCCGTTGGTATCTCTAGCACATTAATTTCACTTGAACATCACACTGGCATATTAAAATCTCATAACAATTAACGTGCTGCAGAATGCGAATATTACGCTATGTTATCTGTACACACATATGGTACATAATTAATGGTGATCATAAATTACGCACGCACTGGAATTATAATTATTTTAATTTTTTTTTTTTTTTTTTTTTGATCTCTAATAATCCCGTTTCAAAGGTATAACGTACGTCGTACGGATAAGTAACTTTAAATCACTCTTCTTCTTCTACCGTGTGGCCGATAACTTATCAGATTCCTTCACCATTCCAGTATTCGATAGTTTCCCTTCTTCGTCTTGTTATACAACCCATTAAATCTCTACGGTCCATAATTCTATGTGTGGCTCTATGGAACTGCAATATATGGTCGTTTGTCTGGATCTGTCCGCACCTACAAATCACTCTAATAAGGCTAGTTTATTAACCTTTAAAACATAATAGGATAGAAAACAAAAACTAAAATTTCAATCGTACTACAATACGTATACGACAACAGTGGTATAACAAAATCAATATTAATAATGGATGTATTGTCATATTTAGGGGTTTGGAAATCGGAACATAAACGAGTTACAAAAACCATACGATTATGTTAACGACAACATTCTACAAATAATTATACAGACAAACATTTCCTTCATATCTTAACAAGTAATTTTTATTTCCTATCCTAGATCTCTACGTCGCAAAAGGTAACGCAGCTCGGATTCAAAATGGAACGCAGGACTGACTGTCCATTGCTGATACATATGTTATAAACCGTGATTGTTGTAGATTAAAAATTGTCATCTCGTGCGAAACCATCGAATCGATAAAATTGTACATATTAAATAATAATAAACAGATTAAGATTATGATAATATTTATATGTTATTATATTGTAGAACTACGTCGCCACGGTAGAAGTTACGACTGATAGACGCGAAGACGTTCGATTACGTTTTATTGCATCAGTGATACAATCGATTGTTGCATCTTACGAACATTGTTGTTCGTAACGGTGTATATAATGTAACTTAATGATTTACCGGATCGATCAAGTAACCATTGTAATAAAAATATATTGTTTGGAAACAAAAAGAGTTTGCGAAATTTTCGAAGAACGAAAAAAAATTAAAAAAAAACTCCATAGTATAACAATATCGTCAGTTACAACAAAACTTACTAAAATTATAAAATCTCAAAAAACTAATAAACGTGTTAGGGTAATCAGAGAGCGTCACGTAAATTTTCGTCATCTACTGCAATAGATTTATTCGTGTTTTTCTAATCGTTGAATCGAACTCCATAAACGATAATTGAGCCGCGACATAAACGGTGACGAACACGCGTGATGTAAATCCGATTCGTTTCGTTTAAACAACCGTCGATCCATGGGCGTAACTTGGAAATTTATTAAGAGAAGCAAATATATATATATATATATGTATTTATTGTTATATATACTTATTATATGTAATTATAATTACATCTTATCTAACGAAAAGGGTGTCCACGGCTAAACGCCGCTTTACTACCTACATATTACGATTATCGTATTATATAAGATTATCATTTTTCTAACATTATGTTGGATAAGCGAAAATTTAAAATTAAGATTTAAAAAAAAAAAAAAAAAATGTTTAATAATAACTATAACAAGCTGTTTTGCACTTATTTTAAAACAAGGTGTTTTAAATATCAGAGAAGGCACTGCCCCTCCTAATTCATTAAAGGAGAGCAATCGCCCCCTTTTCCCGCACCAAAATACGCCTATGCGTCGGTCGATCATTAAATCCGTTTTCTTATATCACTCGTTCTGTCATCGATCGTTTTGACCGTTTTGTTTTTCCTTGCGTTTCAGAAGCGGACCACCACCACCACCACCACCACCACAACAACAGCAGCAGCAGCGGCAGCGGCAGCACGCGGACCGCGCACTCGACATGTGACGGCCGTCCGGGCGGTGGCCATGGACCTGCAGACGTGGCGGTACGACACGGAACTGGAAACGGGCGGCGCGCGACCGGGCTCGGGTAACGGTACGTGCGGCGGCGGCGGCGGCGGAGGCGGCGGAGGCGGCGTCCGTGACGGTTGCGCGGTCGGCCACAGCAACAAGACGCACGCGGTGGCCGGCGACGTGGCCGTGGACGGGACTACGGCGGCGGCCGGGGTGGCGGAGGACGCGGGCGGCGGGGCGGGCCCGGCGATGGGTCCGGTGCTGGTGATCAAGACGGTGGCCATGTGCTCGATCATACTGTGCGCGGTGCTGGGCAACGCGCTGGTGGTGATCAGCGTGGTGCGGCACCGGAAGCTACGCATACTGACCAACTACTACGTGGTGTCGCTGGCGTTCGCCGACTTCCTGGTGGCGCTGTGCGCGATGTCGTTCAACGCGAGCGTCGAGATCACCGGCAAATGGATGTTCGGCTACGTCATGTGCGACGTGTGGAACAGCCTGGACGTGTACTTCTCCACCGCGTCCATACTGCACCTGTGCTGCATCAGCGTGGACCGGTACTACGCGATCGTCAGCCCGCTCCAGTACCCGATCACCATGACGCAGCGCACCGTGCTCTACACGCTGCTCAACGTGTGGACGCTGCCCGCGCTCATATCGTTCCTGCCCATATTCTCCGGCTGGTACACCACCGCCGAGCACCAGGCGTTCCGCCGCAAGAACCCCATGTCGTGCGTGTTCGTCGTCAACCGGTACTACGCCATCGTGTCGTCGTCCGTGTCGTTTTGGATCCCCGGCGTCGTCATGATCGTCATGTACTACAGGTGAGCGGCCAACGCGTTTCCCGTCCGGTGTTTCGAAATATGTTTGGAAAAAAAAAAAAAATACGTAACGATTAACGTTAGCGATCGGCTGAACTCGGCGCTCTGTGGGATCCAACCGTTCGGTTTAGCGTAACGCTAAACTTTTACAATTGCGATTTCTCATCGAAAATTCTTCACGTGTGCACGTACACGTTTCGCGTGTTCGCGTATACGAGTGCGCGCTGGCCGTCGACAGCGGCGGGCCGCTGTCGTTGTCGAAGGATCACATTTAGAGGTCGCGACGTCGAATGATTTTTAATTTAAAGTTCTTACATTCCTAGTGCCGCTGTGCAGTTATAAGTTATTATAGTTATTAAAATTACAGGTACCAAACACTGAACGCTATAATTCTGTCACGGATTGTTCCGTTTTAGCAGTTAACACTGTTCCGTGTGATCTAGATCATCCGGGTGTTTTTTCTCCGGTTCGGGTAAGAACCATCAAAAACTTTCTGAGTCAAGGTTTAATTTTTCAACAATTTCAACTCAACTCCAAAACGTTATATTACAACTTTGTATAAAGAGCGAACTCACAGAAACGAGGGTTAATCCACTTGACTAATTACAGTATTTAGTATTTGTGAACACAACAGTGGAAATTCTTGTATATATATTATGTAGTGGATACTTGATTATCGTTCTGCCTACTTTATTATAAAAATGAACACATAGATCATGTTAAAAAGAATCCAGTTAATGAAATAATGATAAAATAAAAACTATTACATTGATTAATGATCAATTGATTTGTGCGATATATAAAGAGAGGTTACAGCAAATACTACGAGACGGATCCCGCTTATTTTTCTACACCTTTAGAGACTCGAACATTTTTCCGCATTCCGAAAATCATCTATTCAAATATCGATTTTCGGTGTTATCGATAAGATGATTTAAAACTGTTTATATATGTATTCTTGTATGTATGTGCCAATATTTCGAGTGAAACGCTTAACGACCGAATCGATCACGTGTGCGGGGTAATATCAGAATATTTATACTTTTCTCATAGACAGCGATCGGGGCTTACATGATGGACAATCCGTTTCCATTGTTCTTTCACCAGATCAAAAATACCACCCCGGGCTGGTAACGAACTATAGTTACTTGTCCCGTCGGTTTTCGGTGCGATCTAAATGCATTGATTTGCTCAACTATGTTAGATAAATAATATACTAGTACATTTTGTATAGAGTAGAATATACGGTTTCTTTTCTATCCGTCACGCATAAGCTACGGAAAATAAAAAAAAAAAAAAAGGTTTTTTTTTTTTTTGTTTTTCTTTTAACTTTTTGTTCCTTTGAAAATGTCTGAATAAGGATTGAAATTCTTCTTATACTATACAACTGAGATGACCAACAGGTCAATCGTGACTCCGTTTTGTTTTTATTTTAATTCTTTCAGAAAAAAATTTAACTATTTACTTTTATTGTAAATTGTTGTTCAATCCAGGGTTATAAAATTAGATTCATAACAATTGATTGAGACAATGCATGGTAATAATATTAATAATATTAGTAATAAATAACAATGAAAAAAGGAATTATACACCAAGATCGAATAGCTATGTAGGCATATGTTGAACTAATTGTTGATCTAATGGATAATCCGTTTTAAACATCGCGTTCGTATAAATCGATGAAAAATATACTTAAATACGTGTTATGTAAAATTGGTAATTTTTTTTTTTTATTATTAAAATTATGTAAATTTACAATTAATCTCAACACTTATATATACATGCTATAGGTGATTATATAAGCAACCCAGAATTAAGAAAGAACGAGATGGTAGCGGTAACGGCAGTAATAAATTGAGAGGAAAGTATATGGCGAGCGTCTGGTGTGAATTGAGAGAATGAAGGAGTGAAAAAAAGCAAGAACGCTCTGCCAACAAGAAGGGGCAGTCAAACAATATGGGATTAATATCACAGACCACTGGAATATGAGGAAAAATACAAAGAGGTTAGTAATTTAAGGATAATTTGAAGTCATTTGAAGGAAGTAAAGAATGGCCGAAGCGAAGGCGGGAAAAAGAACTAATTACTTTACGGGATAAGTTTAAGCTGTGAAACCACGGTTTAGATGGAATGCTGGTATTAATATTTTTGTACCAAATGACATGGTTGGGAGGTAGATTTATGAAGGAATTAGACCATAATCGATTGACACTAGATTTAAGATAGGAACTGAATTCCGACCAGAGTTCAAAATTACTAACTGTAATTCAAATGGACGCAGTGGTTTTAGCCAGAGAATCCGCAATTTCATTACCTGAGATACTTGTATAACTTAGAACTCAGATAAACTGAATTTCAATACCCGAATTAGAGAGGGAAAAAGAAGGTTCCTGATTAAAAAGATTAGAGGACTAGGTGATGGTTTAAAGATATTAGAAGAAATTGATTTTACGCACGAGAGTGAGCCGGAGGCAATAAGGAATTGCTTGGACTGTAAGGTAGAAATAAGTTTGAGCGCCTCAATGATAGCAAAGCATTCAGCTATGTATGAGAACCTATTGGTGGGAGGTTTTTGGTAAAGGAAATATGTAATTCAAGAATGAAAAAGAGGAACCAGCCGATATAGGTGAGACCGAATCGTCGGTGTAAATTAAAATAAAAAGAGGAAAGGATTTGTGAATGTAATCCTGAAAAAGACTATTGACCAGGTTGGATGGAGAGGTTTTAAGTAAATTTATTGAATGACTAAGGACATTTTTATCCCAATTTATTATGGAAGCAAGTATTAATGAAGAAAAGTTTGCTTCGTAGAGAGATAATTTGTTAGAAGTAAGAAACTAATTTTTAGTAGCCGAAAGAGAATGAGTAACTGAAGCAAGAACGAGAACAGATCTACTGACATAGCGCCAGGCAAAAAAAAAGGTCGATGAATGTGTTATAAATGCATGAAATATGCTTAGACGAGTCTTCCAGAAGAAATTTTCCATCAAGCAATTTGCATCTAAACTCAAGTGGTTGACAAACCGCTTCAATATCAATGGTGGCGGAAGGAGTAGATTTTAAGGCACCGAGGATAGATCTAAGGCATGCTGATTGTAGTTTTTGGATCATATTGCGGTGAGAAAAGGTGGATGAACCTGAAAAGAAACATCCGTAATCTAATTTTGAACGAATGACTGATTTATAAATTATTAATAATGAAGTAGGGTGGGAGCCCTCCATACATTTACCACCAATCTAAGAAAATTAGCTCAACGGACACAAAATTTGGTAAGATCATTAACGTGGGATAACCACCTGAGTTTGGAGTCTAAATTTAGACCTAGTTATATGTGATTCGTGACTGTGGGGATTATGAAATCATATATTATGATGTCAGGTAAGTGATTTAATCGGCGTCTGGTAAATATGACGACTTAGAATTTATTATGCGCAATGGAGAAGAAAGAGAAATTTAAAACATTCTGTAGAGAATCAAAGGCATTATTTATGGAGGTAACTGCAACATCAATAAATCTACTATGTGAGAAGATAACAATGTCGTCTGCGTAGACGAGACAATTGTGACCTGAAGTATTAAGTGTTTGATGATAAAGCCCATATACAAATTAAATAAGATGGGACTCAAGCAACTACCTTATGGAAGGCCCGTTGATGTGAAACGTATATTAGTGGATCCAAAGGAAAAGCAAAAATGTAATTCTCTATCTGAAAAAGGAGAGATATGCGATTTATGAACGATGATCAAATATTTAACAATTTTAGATGAATAATTAATAAGGGAATATGAACAGAATCAAATGCCCCACACATTTTTATGAAAGTGGATACCAAAAACTTTTTATTATTAACACGTTTACAGCCACCCCATAATTTAAAAAGTCGTATAAAAAAATCCAACAAAAAATTCATAAAATTCTATAGATATTATATAATTCCAAAGATAATACAATCTATGGAATATATAATCTTCTTTCTTCTTTCTTCTTTTTGTGGGTTACGGCCTTCAAGATTTTTGCAGGGATTATATACTATCTATGGATAATATAAAATCTATGGAATAAAATAATATTTATGGAATTATATAATATCTTTGGAATAATATAATATATATGAATTATATTATGTCTATGGAAATATACAATCTATGGAATTATGTATTATCTTTGGAATTATATACAATCTATGAAGTTATGCATTATCTTTGGAATTGTATAAAATCTATGAAGTTATATATTATCTTTGGAATTATATATGTGTTAGTGTGAAAAATTGAGTCGAATGTGACTTTGATTTTTCTATGACCATTAGGCTTAATGCAATTGATTCCGAAAAAGTTGTTACACAAAAAATTTGGCCCATTTCAGTGGGTGCCAAGAACCATCAGTGATACTATTATCGGTGAACTCAATTATAATAATTGGGGAGCCCTCAAAATAATCTTCAAAATGTTTGAGATGTTGGTCTGTAGTAAGATTCGTAAAAGTGTTCTCGGGTACGGCACTTTGGTGCGAAATAGAATTGGTGTTTGAAATAACTCTCCCGGATTGCCATATTACGTTATCAAAACCGATTGTATTATTGTCCGGAGAGTTGCTCATTAGCATGTCGCTATTGAGTGTAATTGGATTCGAGGTAGAAGCGATATCGTACATTCGTTAATATTTAAAGTTGGATGGTTGTCGATAATGTGTTGAAGATTAGGAGACATGGCTGTCTTGTTGACTTTACAATTAATATTATTCAGCGTACGGGATTTTTTTGAATCGACTGTGTACTATTTGGAGTCTGAGTGGTTGCTTGAAGCTAGTGCAGACTTGATTTTATTAGTCCCAGGTTTTTGGCCCAAGATACGGCCATCGCTGCTTGTCGGCAACGGCATTTTAGTTTGAATTATTTACTCTTATGCAAGCAATTAATTATGTTAATGAAAAGAAATGCAGGTAGAACGACCGTTCACAGTAAAAGATAAATCGCGACTGATTTTGTAAAATTTAATTTAT